AAATTAACGTAATATGAAAAGAATAAAAAAGGGTAAGAAAATTGTCACATTACTCTAGGCTTAAAGATTACCAGAGTAAATTCAAGGTTACGACAAATTGTTTTTGCACACATTAGGGGGGGTTTAATTTTCGAATAGTCAAGGCCTCCATAAACCTGAAAATTCGTCCGTCAACATTTCTATATATTGTTTTGAAGGCTGTCTTGATGTCAATCTTATGCCATGTCTCAATTATGTGTTTTGTGATCGATGAACAAGGTTTTATACTTCCTACGTTTATCATCTCATCTGACGTTAACTAATTTTGACAAGTAAATATGTGTGACCAGATTGTTCAAAATGTGTATAGCGCAAATAAATCACATTTTTCAGATCAATTACGTCTTCTCACTGTACTGTTTTATCATTTATTTATAAAATATTCTATGGAATTTCTTAATTTTTTTTGTATTTCTTGATAACATTACATATGACCAACTCGGAATCAGTAAATTGAGATGGGAAAACTGTTATCAGATGAATTGTATCATGAAATATTTTTAAAACAAAACTTCAAAACAGTTTAAAAACTATTGATTTTTTTATGATATTGAGAATGATGAACAACAGATTTTAAATAATTTTACAATAATTTGAGACATAAAAAGCAATGTATTATCAATTATTGAAAATTATGTCCGACATTATAAAAACTTTGGAAAAAAAACACCCAGAAATTTCAATTTGACCAGGTGACTATGTAAAATTGTTTTTAACATGAATTCTTATGGTTAGTAGCCTTTGTGTAGAGCTCAACGGTTGTTTCTCTCCGCATTTCTACATGATATGTAGTCTGCGGCCATGTGGGCATGTAATTCTATGTTCATGAAGAAACCTACTGTCATTTGGTGACTGATCTGATGTAAGTCTGTGATGAACACATATATCTTTGAAAGAAAATTTTAATAATTTTTTCTCCCTAAAAAGAAACTGATATTCTGAAATATGTCTTCGGTAATTTCATCAAATACTGTAAATATTCTAGATTTTACACTTATGTAAATGAAGTGTCATAAATTCAAGTCATAATATTTCCAATTTATGCCATACATATTTCTTACTCTTACATTCATAACCACTTATACATTGAACTGATGTCAATTAGCTCTATTCCGACATTTCAACACAACAATATGTTTTTCAATCAACATGATATTCGTACTTCCGTTGTGCAGATTTATTAGTATTGTACAACTGTTGTGATTGACTGTTATTCAGTAGTTATAATATATGTTAAGTCTATGTTACCGACATTGAGTTTTCGATTAACTAATGTCATAGCATCTAAGGTTGTCTATTGAATATTTAAAAAGAAACAATCTTTTTATTTGAAATTATTTCCGAGTAATGAAGTGATGTTAGCTGTTAAAACAGTGTTGGGAACGTTAGAAGCCCAAAACTCGCTTGATAAATGCCTTAATTTTGGATTTTATGTTTCCGAGCGTAGGATGATCAGTTGACCTTGAGATTTCATTTCCTACCAGGAAAATCCTTGGCTGTGATTAGTCACTGTGTTATTATAGTGTGCTATTTTTGTGACTCTTCCAAGGACGTTTCTATGATGTAGAAATAAACGCGATTTGTGCGCTTAAATACATTGTGCTTGTTGGGTGTTTGTAGGATATACTTTCTACGCTACATCAAAACTTTTTGGTTAGTCATCGGATCAGGGTAGCCTACCTGGACGCTGGTTCATTGTCTCGTTCTCGTTTATCGACTAAGCTGTACCCTTAATAGTTTCAAGCATACCTAGTGATGAGCATGACAGAAAGAATTGTACATTTTGTATATATTTATTTTATGATTATTTGGTTAAATTGAAAATACCATATCTATCTTAGAATCAGTAATTTTTCAAATTATCTTTAACCACTTATATTCGATAAGGTTAGTAAGGTCACGGAAATTGTCAAAGAGAAAACGTTTTAAAGCATATATTACTCGTCATATAAACATCAATCCAATTCTGGTACAGGTTTCCTTGTGAATATTTTCACGAATCAAATGGACTCTATTAATTTTTGAATATCTAACATTTGTTACAATCAGCATCCAAGCTTCACTGTAGTTTTGATCTGGTTGATTTACTGAATAATGTTACTATTGAGTACTTCAAGTTGACATTAGCGCTTATTTCTTTGCCTAGAATTATGATGAAAACTGACAGATAAATTAACTAACCGAAGAAACAAAATACTATTGAGATTACTTTCTCTGTTTATCTCTATACATATACATTTATGAATTGCAAGGCAATATTAAATTTGATAAATTCTTTGAGAATATCTGAGTTTTGTATAGAATGGGTCGTCTTTTATTCAATACACCTGGATGAGATAAAACATTTTCTGCATTAGTTTAGGATAGAAAATTTCTGTTTAATGTTTTATACTCATTTAGAACGTTGAATGATTAAGACTGGAAATTTGGAGGGGAAACTAAATATCTTCTATTCCGCATCTTCAGTAATTTGTTATTGAATTCAGATAGTCTATAGTTTATAGTTCATTTCGAAAAAGGTTCGGCAATAAAATTTTACACAATTTACTAGACTTTTTTTTATATTGAAACCTGTGAAGCATCATATGGTGTAAAATTACCATAGTAAATCTAACAACTCAAATAATTACAACATTTGTACTCACACATGAAATGTAATTTAGCACAATGAATCAAATGGAAATTCTTTATAATAAATATCAATCAGGTCAAGCGTAATAAACTATACAAGCTATATGATACATGTTATTTTATCTACCTGACTGTGTAAAATAAATTATTTCATAGCAATAAAATCAATTATTATTATTAATCATATGAAATTTTTAAATCGCAATTATATGGTTGGTCGAATAGTAGTATTATTATCAACCGCGAATCTTTTCTAGGTATGTTGTAATTTAGATTGATTCTATCGTATTATCGTAATTCAGTTAAATTCGTTGACCGTATATGAAGTAAATGAATTCTTTATATCCTTAGGAAATTAACTGTTGTAGCGAAACAGAATAAAATTCTATCAATTTATTTACTAGTTTTGAAATCAAGTGACTGAACATTGAATTTATTGATAAGTTAATGAAAAAAAACATTTTTGTTACAATTTGTTAGTTTGACTGATTCAATTTTTAGAGAGTTCTTAGTGAATTTTAAAATGTGTTTGACAATTGTCAACATCAAACTATATTTCGTATACATGTCAGTGAGAACTGAGTGCACATTATTGTAGTGTGAGAAAAATAAAGTTAATAATTGTTCAGTAATTTTTTTTACTTTTTAATAATATTCTATTCAAAGTCATGATTTGGTGAAAACTTCTTTTAGAATATCATTTTAATGTGTGTCTTAATGTCTAAGTACGGAAGACCATGGGTGAGGTTGCGTGAAATCCTTAGATTGATCAGAGTTAAACATTAACACCGTTGGATGCCGGCTGAGTGATCCAAGAGGTTAAGCGTTCGCGTGCGAAACAAAGGTCCTAGTTTCAATTCCTGCGAGTAGCGAGAATCATGGATGCGCACTGCTGATGAGTCCAATGCCAGGACGAAACGTTCGTCTAGTGCTTTCATGTTTCTAATAGTGGTCTAACAATGATTGATTCACGATCTCACTATAACTAAATATTAAATTTAGAATTTTTTTAGATATTTACTTCTTCCTTAGATTCACTTTGCATTCATTCAAAATATTCCATCGAAAAATTTAGGTTGCGAAATTCTAATTTATGAGTTATATTCTAAAAGCAGTTTTATACAACATGACCATTTTAGGTGTATTATATGTTCTGGCTAATGAAGTGTTAAACTTCCTTCTGAATTTGTTTGCTACTCCATTCAATATAAAGTTAAGATTTATAAATATTGGTATTTTGATTGGTGACAGTCAAATTCTTCCTGTTGTTATCTTTTTTTTCACATTCATCAACGGATGTTTGTAAAATAACAGTTGTATTTTAGAAGGCATTTTCATGATTCATCAATTGTTCCCCCGGTATTTTGGTGGTTCTTACCCGCTCTATTCTATGAAATAGCACTTCGACTAATACTTTATTGTATTTTATTCGATAAAAACTACTGAAATTCAAGTAAAAATTATTCGATTAACAGAACGTTAAAGTATTCTGTCTGTTCCAGGCAAATGACGCATGTTTTTCTTTATGTATTCCATAGTAAATTGTACATGATGACAAGCCGTGTTGAAGAGTTCTAACAGTTGGGTTGAATGCTCTCTACTGCTACAAGCAATAAACATGATATATTTAACTTGATATTACCAAACTACTGTACTGCTTGCTAAACTACATCAGTTAATCATGCGTAATAAAGTAGTTTTACAGTGGTTCCACAGTTTCCTTTGTGACTTAAATACTATTCAATCCCAAAAAACATCATTCCGAAGTGTTCTGTCAAGTTTGTGCAAACTATAATCATATCATATATGAACTATTTAACGTAATGAATTAACGTAAATGTGCACACCACACCACGAACGTTACAAAATCTTAGTTCCTGGGCTTTTGAAAACTAAACTTACTACAGTATTTACTAAAGCAAGATAAATTAACAATCTACAAGCATAAAAGTACATGTATTTAGAAGGTTGTATAGTGGTCTAAACACAAACGGGTTTTACATACTCAAAACTTGTCAAGCCTTTAAACTAGACTTAGAGCAAATAATTATAACCATCCTCTTATATTCCTATATAATGTTCTGCTTGACCTGATCTGTGTTTTCACCTACATATTTGTTCCGCTTACCGACTTAAACACTAATCACTTAAGCCAATTGTATATACAAAGACATATCTGCTTATATTTATCGGCCCGTAATCAATACAAATCAACAATCGCCATAATCCTACTATACTGAAATATTTGATTGCTTGATAAATATTGATTTATTTATAGAATTTATGATTGATCATTATTCAATTGATAAATTACACAAAAAAAAACTTACTAGTTATAAAGTGAAATGTCAGGTATCCAAAGGTGTTCCACAGGTATAGTCACTGAATCAATGCCACCGTAATCATTCGGATTCCATATTAAATTGTGATCTACCCATTTCTAATTTGTTTGACATAAAAAAAGTGTACAAAGTATTTAAATTAACTGGATTTTTTTTTATTTAAATGCTTTATAATAAGATATTAATATAATTTAAATTTCAGATTCTCATAACAAAACGTCTTTCACAGTAATTTTGAGGTTAGTTTTCTTAAGTTAACCAATTTTTGACAATAATCTAAAAAATTAATTATCGTATTTTAAAAATTCCAAATGTCGTTAATAATTTACGAGTTCATGCGAAGCTAGGTCTGTAAGTCATTCGAAGCGTATTTCATCCAAAAGAATTCAAGAATATTATCCAGCTGAGGTTGAAAATAGGCAGATACTGGCTAATAAGACGCTCAATAATCAAACACTATGTGAACATAGATCATCTGGTGTAAACGGATTTTGCGTTCCAAGTTATCTTTGAGGTGAGTAGAAAGTAGTGTTGACTACCATCTTCTTAGCATTGCCGAAGCACTTGTCTGGATCTGGAAAAACAATTATTATTATGTGTACAGATGAAACTGGTACAACTAATTCTTCTACTGTGGTCTTAATCTCTCTCTAACAGCGATATGCTTCCCATATATATCTTCTTCTAAATAGACCTTTCACCCTCTAAAACGGATTTGTTTCTTTCTATCATCTTCTTGATTAGAGTTTATCTCGATTTGAACACTTTATCTGATCACACGGAGCCTTTCCTTACCGATTATCAGTTCTTTGAAATCATCAATCAATCATTGTTAGACCACCATTAGAAACCTGGAAGCACTGGACGGCCGTTTACGTCCTGGTATGGGACTCGCTAGCAGTGCGCATCCACGACTCTTGCTCCTCGCAGGATTCGAACCCTGGACCTTCGGTATTGTGCGCGAACGCCTAACCATCGGACCACTGGGCCGGCATCCTACGGTGGAGTCGTGGATGCGCACTGCTGACGAGTCCCATACCAGGACGAAACGGCCGTCCAGTGCTTCCAGGTTTCTAATGGTGGTCTAACAATGATTTATTGATGATTTCAAACGTGTAAAAACACAAACCTCCAAAACTCTGCCCCAAAATATCAGTTCTTTATCAACCTCCATGATCTTCATGTTCAAGCCAGCCACAAAAAAATTATTCTTAATTCCGTAAATCAAAATATCCGCCTATTCCATTATCAAATTCGTTTCACCACTAAGATGTTGAAAAAAAGTTTTATTATCACTATCATTGTAATTTTCACTATGAGAAAAAAGTAAAACTCTATGATTTTACAACTTTGAAAATGAATTCATCCAAAAAGAAAAGAGAACTCTCAGCTGAACTCATCTTTCTTGTTTTATATCTCAATGGACACATTCCATTTTACAAAATTTAGTTCTCTAGTCAGTCATGGGCTTTGTATGATAGCAAATTATGATTAACATGTGAAGAAATCTACCATATAATTATTAAATGTTCTAAAGTTATCTTTAAAATTAGTTTACACATAAGTTTTTTTTGAAGACATGCTTATGGGTAATATACTAGTGCTTTATAAAATAAACATTCTTTTTCAATGTTCAATATGCAATTCATATTTCATTTTCATTTATTCTACGACAAAAAATTGAATATGTGTTCACTAAAATGGTTTAATGTGTACTAAGTTTTACAAATAAAATAATTATCTTAATATCAATGAATAATATCTCTCATGGTAAACGAGTGAATTATGTTGTTATTCACATTTTAGGCAATGAATTTTATGCTGTTATAGTTGATATTAATGTGCATCCTACATAGACTGTCTTTCTACGATCATTTTAAGCAATTAGAATACAATGTTTAATATTAACAAAAGAATAACTCTAACCTTAACTAACAGTGGGAAGAGCATCATATCGATTTAAATATTTAGTAGCTTTCGAAACGGCGATTAATACTCATACAAAACACGAAACATCAATCAATTTTAAATAAAGCTACAAACGTTTCACATGAAACTTTATGATTTCTTTCAAAATTCAACAAATTGAGTGATATTCAAGTTGTTTAAAATTAAAGCTGAGTTCTGTGTTATCACAGAGTCACAACAGTTAACCTTTCAATATAAACTTATTTTCAATTAGTTATGGAGATGGGTGTTTTTAGCGAAGCTCCCAGTTTCGAATTCTGCAAGGTGCGCAGAGTCTTGGATGCGCACAGCTGATGAGTCCCATACCAGGACGAAACGGCCATCCAGTGCTTTCAGGTTTCCAATGGTGGTTTAACAATGATTGATTGATAATTTCAAATGTGTATAAACTTATTGTTATGATAAATAATAATAGTTCTTATTTTATTCAAATTATTGATTAGTAACATCATTCTACAGTTTGTGATGTGTGACTTTTTGTATAGGAGCATAAAATTTTATAACTTGAGTTTCGAAAAGTTTTATGGATATTAGCATAAGTATGCATATCAAAATAATGATGATTGACATTATATATATTAGTGTTTCGTTTAATCTGAAGAAAGTCTAAAAACGTTATATTTTTATATATATTTTATAAATCAAAGCACTAGCATATCACTACTGTCATAGATGAGGTGATGAACCGTGACATACAACTTGGATATCTCGTTTGACACATGTTACTAAATGAAGGTTAATGTTAGATTTACTCTTAGAAAGAATATACATGTACACATTGTTTCGAAACTGGCTTCGGAATATAGTATAATAAGCAGAGTTTCCATTGTACTTTTTATGAGCCAATGGAGTGACACTTCTCGAACATTAATCTGTATGTAATTCAGGAAAGTTTAGCAATAAATGTACAATAAAAACCGTTATCTTCTACAAATCTTTTTTGTTCGTGATTATCCAAATTTTTTTGACAAAGGAAATTCAAATCACATAAAAGATTGATGGAATTTCTAAAACTAGACTTTATGTTAGTTTATAATAGTAAGAATTATGTGTCTGTAATCTTAAGAAAACTGACATCTCTTACATTATTCAAATTTGAATGACATAATGTCCTGTTTGGAGACATTAACATCTAAAGTCAAAAAACATTGCATGTTATGTCCAGTCATTTGAACCAGTATGCCTACCGCAACTTAACTAACAGAATTCAATCAGTAGTAAAGGTTAAGGAAATACGGTGCCTAGCATGGGATATGGTGGAGAACTAGCATACACCTGGTCGATCTGGATAAAATAGAAAAATCATATCGTAAATCGTTAATTTGCAAAATATCAATCCATCATATCGAACCGGACTGTTCCTGTTGCAAACATCAATCCATTGTCTGACATTTGACTGTTCATGCGTTTCATACAAATCCCATTGTGTTCCCGCTCTTCCTTTCTTGATCTTACCCACCTTCTGCTGCCATACATTACGTTTTTATTCGCGTCATATACTACTTATAAGTAGCGCGCACCACAGATCTAAACTTCGTAGATGATTCGGCACTTCTATCTGACACGCAACAACAAATGGTGGAGAAGATGACCAGTGTAGTAGCAGCAACCTCAACAGCCCCAGGTCTCAACATACACAAAGGTAAAAAGCAAGATTCTCAGATACAATCCAACATGCACCAACTAAATCACACTTGGTGGGGAAGCTCTAGAGGAAGCAAAAACCTTTAAATATCTAGGTAGCATTACTGATGAGTAAGTTGGATCTGATACAGATGTGAAGGCATGGATCGGTAAAGCAAGGGCTGCATTTCTACAATTGAATAGAATCTTGAACGCAAGACAACCATCGACAAACACCGAGGTTAGAATGTGCAATATCAGTGTCAAGACAGTTCTACTGTTCATCATCCAGAAGATACTAGTATTCATTAACAGTTGTCTATTTAATATAATGAGAATTCGTTGGCCAGACATCATTAACGATAACCTAGTGTAGGATAGAACAAATCAGATTCCAGCTGAGGACGAAATTAGGGAAGAGCGCAAGAGGTGGATAGGACACACATTAGGGACTGCACCTAATTGCGTCACAGGACAAGCCCTCACTTGGGATCCTCAAGGCTAAAGAAGAGGAAGGCCAAGAAACATTACGCCGAGAAACAGAGAAGGATATGAGAAGAATGAACGAAAATTGGACAGAACTGGAAAGGGAAGCCCAGGACAGAGTAGGTTGGACAATGCTAGTCGGCGGCCTATGCTCTAGTGGGAGTAACAGAAGTACGTAAGTTAGCAAATAAGTAAGTAAATAATCATTGACCGATCAGTTTTAAAACAAAGATTACTGGGTGTATTACATAAACACTGGACAAACAATAAGTTAAATGATACAGAAAGAAAACGATTTACACTAATTACAAACTATTTACCGATTATAAAAGTAATAGTTAATTTCCCATACGACAATAGGAATAACAATTATTAAATTGTATACACATAGAATCTTATGCTTTCTTTTCGAATCGAAACTCTTGTACAATCTACTTAAGGGGACTTGTAACGGTACATACAGTTATACTAACTTATAAATGGTTTTATACTGAAAAATCCTAACAATATCATTACAATTAGCAATAAATAAAATTCACAATTACAAACTGTGTGTGTGACGCATAAATTTATACTTCAACCATAGTTTATGACGACTAGCATACTTAATGATACTCTTCTTATCGAAACATTTAGTAAAATGTATGATGAGAGGATACTTTAAAACATCCAGTTCTCATCTTATACTGATACCAAAGAAAATATGTAAAATAAAATTCTTAAATTAAAGGTTAAGTATATTCTTTTTATTTCATTAGTTTATAGAACTTAGATCTTTTTCAGATTTAAACGATATCAGTAGAATTATAGCTGAATGAATACCAGGAATCAACGGATAGCTACTTGGTTCTAATGGAAAAGGTGTCAGATTCGAGCAAAGCAACTATTCAGTATCTTTTGATGTTTAGTTATTTCTCAGCTAAGGTCAGTTAAAGATTAAGATTACCTTGTAGGTTATGTTTGATATGTGATAATCATTATCATAGCAATATGGTAGCTAATTCTGATAACTTTCTACCAA